CTGAAAACAGGTAAGCAGGAATTTAAGGCTCAGAGGAAATCCATGAAGACACCTGAAACTGACTGTGAGGCCAGGTGACTCTGGGCGTGTGACTGAGCAGTACTTATGTCTCTAAAATGGAGGCGCTGATGGGCTGCCCGGGCGCTGGCTGAGGACTGAGCTTATGCTTGGTCCGGGCACAGCCCAGGGCAGCAGCCACAGTAACCACCCAGGGGATGTTTCTTGATTCTCACGATGGCGTAGGATGGCTACTTCTCTAGGTCCTGACTCTGTAGTGCCTTCTGCAATGACATCTGCAATCTGGGAAGCCTTGGAAGAGAAGCATGTTCCTAGAATACGCCACCCCCCTCATGGCCTGCATTGGGTGTGGCTATTGCAACACCTCACTGAGCCCCTGATAGGTGTGCTAGTGCTGTTACACGAGGACTTCAAGGCTGCATTTATGAATTTTCCTTCTCATTTCATGTGCTCAGTGAGAACAACCCCCCCACCCCGTGCTTGTGGATGCTCGAGTCTGGCAGAGCAGGGGGTGCGTGAAGCCGGTGGCGGAGTGGAGTCAGCTCCAATGTCCTGGGTGCCGCGGCTCTATTCTCACTCCCTCACACCCGGTGCTGCTGGGCTCAGCGCCTTGGTGGCTGGCCAGCTGCTGAGTGGTCAGCTGGATCTCTAGCCCTATTCTGAGAGAATTTGTGTTTTATGAGTGGGTAGTACCTTCGCATCCACAAAATCCAGAGGGCACAAAGTGGTGTGCCGTGTAATGTCCTCTGGGCCCCCTGGGAGCTCAGTTCAGTTTATGATGGACTCATGGAGGCTATCAGACGACTGTTTCTTCACAGCCTGTAGCTACAAGATCTGAGCCAGAGGCTGAGAGCCCCGTCTCGGGTTTCAGGGGCTGCACATTGGCTTCATTGAGCTCCCAGGACCCTATGCCTCCCTCTTCTCTGTTGGGAGCTGCAAACCCATGGGTCTTGCTACCCCTTTAGCCTCTTGTAATGGATGCTTCAGTGCCTGGGGCTGTGATCTGATTCCATGTTTGCACTTGTAGCTTATTTTGAGCAGTGCCCCTTTTTATAGAAAACTATTTTGCCTTTGAACATGTGACTTTTAAAAAATACTGCATTCTTGAGTTTTTTTTTATTATGCCTTAGACGATGCAGTTTTGTGGGACCCCACATTTTGTTTTGTATTGGGAGGCATGGGGGGAACTGGGGTTTTTAATTCCTGAAATCTTCATGACCCATTTTTCAGAAACCTGTCTCTTCTTTTGGAGGGGCTGCCCCTAAGTCTCTGCTACAGTTCAGGAAGGCGGCTGGAGGATGGGCGTGGATGGGGAGGGGAAGGGAGGAGGCAGGTGGAGCAGGCTGTGGTATGGTCAGCAGCTTCTTTGTGCGCGCTCCAGGCATCAGAGGACACTTCAGGGTTGGGTGGACACCAGGGGGGAGGCCTCTGCCCTGTGTGCAGGGCTCGTACCATCATTATGATGGTGGAATTCCAGAAGCTGAACTCTTGGCATTCTAGAGACTACAGAAATAGACTCAGCGATTTTGATGCCATGCCTGCATCCTTAGAGGTGGGTGTGCCTGTGTACTCCAGAGACATGGAGGGGCCGGGAGTACCCACGCTAGCTCCTCCCTCTTAGAACTCAAAGGTACTCAAGCATCTCACCAATGGCAATGCAGCTTTTCTCAGCCTGCTCAGAGCATCCCAGGGCAGGCCAAGTCACCGCTGAGCCAAGCCGGAGGCATCCCAGCGGGTGTAGGGTGGGAGTTTGTGGCAGGTGCCAGCCTGTGTTCTAACAGACGCAGTACATTACAGAGTCTTCCACAGACATGAGTCAAGCCCCTCGCGGAAAGCTGCCTTTTCCTCCTACTAGGCTGGCCATGCTGGCTGCCGGTGGCAGGGCGAGGGCCCCCAGGCCCAGCAGGCACAGCTCGTGCCTCCTGGACAGAGGTCTGTGACATGCTCTGGAAACTGCAGTTCCCTGTTCCTGACCCTGTGCTGTGGGAAGTCACCTGCAGGAGAAGCATGGACAAGTCACACCTAGGCTCAGCTCTGTCTCTAGTCAGCCATGGGACCGCAGACAAGTCCCGTCTTTTCTTGGCCTCTATGTCTTCAAAGGATAATTATACGTAACAATTCATAAGAGCTGACATATAATTTATAAGCACTTGGGAAGATGTTCTCATAGTGACCAAAGAAATAAACATAAGCAAGTGTCATCTTAACACTGCAAATCAGTGGTGACAGTAGTGTTCAAAGTTTGTGCTGTAAATCAGCATCACACATTGTCCCTCCTTCACAAAATGCATAAAATGTCCATATCCTTTGACCTAATAATCTCACTTCTGGCAAGTTTAGCCCAAGGAAATAATCCAGGAAAGGGAAAGAGCATTAGCAAGAGGTGTTCCAGTTTTTCATCAAAGTGACAAGGAGCATTCTGAATGCTTTCATAGGGGTTGGTCAAGTAAACATTGACGGGCCCATTTTTGGGAACATTAAAATCAGTGGTCATGGGGTCTTGCAAGGTGGAAGAAATATGTGAGACACAATGCTAAAAGGATTTTAAACTGTCCCAACAGCAGCTATATAAAAATATAGGTGTCTCTGTATATAGACAGGCAGGGACATGCAGAGACCAGCTGCATCGGGGTAATGAGATTGGACAGTTTTGTTGTAGTAAATTATATGAGTAGTAAGTTTTGTTGACCTATAATAATCCACATAACATATGATTTCCCCATTTAAAGCATGCATTTCAGTGGTTTTTAGTATATTCACAGAATTGTGCAACCATCATCATAGTTTTGCATTTCCATCATCCCAAAAGGAACTCCATGCTCGCCATTCTGTGCCCACTCCCACCAAGACCCCTGAAAACTACTAATCTGCTTTCTGTCTCTATGGATTTCCTGTCCTGGACATTTCGCATAAAGAATCATACAACATGTGGTCCTTTGTGTCTGGCTTCTTTCTGGCTTCTTTCACTGAGCATAATGTTTTGAAGATTCATCCAGGTTTGTGTCAGTACTTCATCCCTTTTGTGGCTGAATAATATTCCACTGTATGGATATAACCACAGTTGATGGACACTTGAGTGGTTTACACTTTTTGGCTACTATGAATAATGCTGCCATGAACATTCTTGTACAAGTTTTTGTGTGGACATGAATTTTCAGTTCTTTTGGGTATACACTTACGAGTGGAATTGCCAGGTCATGTAGTAAGTCTGTTTTAACCTCTTGAGGAACTGAGACTGATCTCCAGAGCAGCTATACCATTTCACATACCCCTCAGCTGTGTGTGAGGGTTCCGATTTCTCTACATTACATATTATTGACCTTTTCATTTCAGCCATCTTAGTGAGTAGGAAATGGTACCTTGTTGTGGTTTTGATTTGCATTTTGATATGCACAGTTTTCATGTGCATATTGGGCATTTATTTATCTTTAGAGAAATGTCTGTTCAGATCCTTTTGCCCATTTTTAAAAATTGGGTTATCTTTTTTGTTAGAGTTCTAAGAGTTCTTTATATATTCTAAATGGTACAGGTCCTTTAGTAGACACATGATTTGTAAAAATTTTCCTCCATTCTGTGGGTTGTCTTCCCACTTTCTTGGTGGTGTCCTCAGAAGCACAAGTTTTTAATTTTGATGAACTTGATTTTACCGTTTTTCTCTTTTGTTGCTTGGACTCAGTCCCTTTGGCCTTGCCACTGATTCGTTACATTTAATATTTAAACCTACTGACTACAAGCTCCCTCTTCCCAGCAGGGTTATTAGGGCCCCTTCATCCCCATATGGTTCTGAACTTAACACTGGTGGGCTCCAGGAGGGACCTATGCTAGGAAAGTTGTTTTTTGCTGTATATCCTTTTGTATTGTCTAGCTTTTCTTTCTAGTTAATATTATTTCAGTTAAAAAACAAAACTGAGTTTCACTTCAAAATACTACTAATTCTTATCCTTTTATGCTGCTGAATCCAGCTGAAGGAAGTGCCTACCTAAAGGAGACAGAATGCAGACCCAGGGGCGGGAAGGTGGCTGGCTTCCCTGCTTCTCACCCGGCACCCAGCAGCACTTGCTTTGTGGGCCATGGGAAGGAAATGAGGAAGTGTTCCACTTGACCGACACTGGCTCCTTCCTCCTCACCCCATCCACTCCCCACGAAAGCAAAGAACTGCTGCTGTAGGGAGAAGCCCCAGGTTCTCATTCCTTCCTGCAGGGCATGTCAAGGTGTGGGGGCTGCTCTGGGGAGAAGCTGAGAAGGGGGGAGGTGAGGAGTGGGTAGGGACACAGGATGGCGCGGTGCTGGGCAGATGGACGGGTGGTGCCGGGAGTGTGGCTGCCTGGGGGCCAAGTGCCCAGGTGCAGCCCTGCCCTGGTGAGTGGGCCCTCCCCTGGTTCCGAGGGCGCTGCCTCCTGTGCTCCCCCGACACGGTTTCCAGAGCCCTCCTGTCCTCCCAGGACAGCAGTGGAAAATCCTTGCCTGTCAATCTTCTCTGGGTACCTGGGATTTGAGGTAAAGTCTCCCAGATCCCTCCCACAAGCAGGCCACAGTGCCCTGGTGCGGAAGCCAGCCTGCTGCTCCCTAAGTTTGAGGGGAGGAGAGGACCAGTGGCCAAGCTGCCCTGTGGGGAACCCTAGATTAGGTTCCTGAGCTACTGGGTTCTGTCACCCTCTGGCTTTCACACAAAGTGTGGATGACCACTGGGGTTAGTAGCTTCTGGAGGTTGGAGGATGGTGGCTTTGGGCTGGGTTACCTGGGCAATGGTGGGGCATCTCCAGGGCCTAGAGGGAGCCCATCTCAAATGTGGAAATTTACGTGGAGGGGAGTAAAAGGTGACCTGAGCCCTGAGGGCAGAGCACATCTATGGGGCAGGGCTCACAGGGGGCAGCTCTGAGACCAACCACACACCTTGTGCTGCAGCCCCTCCTCACAGACCGGTACCTGAGTGGCAAGTTGGGGGGTTGGAGCATGGTTCCCTATCTGAGTTTTTCCTCCAGGTCCAGGAGAAGCAGCAAAAATGTCAAATGAGCCACCCCCTCCTTACCCTGGAGGCCCCACAGCCCCCCTTCTGGAGGAGAAAAGTGGAGCTCCGCCCACCCCAGGTAGGGTTCAGCACTCTTGACTGCTGTCCCTTGCCCTCCCCCACTGCTGGAAGCCTGTGCCTGGAGCAGCCCTCGCTGGAGCCCTCTGAGCTTCCTCTCTCTGCTCTCTCTCCAGGCCACACCTCCCCAGCTGTGATGCAGCCCCCACCAGGCATGTCGCTGCCCCCTGCAGACATTGGCCCCCCACCCTATGAGCCACCAGGTCACCCAATACCCCAGCCTGGCTTCATCCCCCCACATGTGAATGCAGACGGCAGTTACATGCCTCCAGGTAAGTTGGAAAGGAACCAGCCCAGCCCAGCACCCAGTGCATCACCTGGGCTACTGTCCAGCCTTTGCTGTGGGTGAGTAGTCTTTGTGGGTAATTAAGGTAAGGGCAGGGGACATGGGAAGGTGCCCTAGAACAGGGTAACACTGTGCAGGTGCTGTGGCCAGAAGTGCCCTGGGCCCTGCCTGTGCCGTGGGGCCTCTCCCTGCCAGGGACCTGAGTCCATAGTAGAGGCCTGGCCTGCTCCCGCAGCAGCTCTTCTGAGAGACTGCACAGGCCAGAGAAGGGCCCTGGTCAGGTAGGCTGGTCCCTGGCACTCCATGCAGGACTTGATGCTGATGGGGAGGAGAAGTGGAAAGGCTTTCCTTCCTGTGGCCAGAGTCCTCACACACAGCCCAGTCCCCTAAGTGTCAGAAGCAAGGGAGCCAATGCATCAAGCTTAGGCGGAGGAGAGGACAGATGGGGCCTTGTTCCCAGCTCTCTGTCATGTCTGGCTGGGCCAAGTAGCTTCCCTGTCTTGGTCCCCATGGGGCAGGGAGCAAGGCTGGGAGAATGTGGATGGTCACCTTGGCCCAGGGCCTGGTCCAGGGCCTCACCCTGTGTCCTGGGGCCTTAGGGCTTTGTGCTCACTCCTCACATGGGGCAACTGGCAAGCTAGTGACCTGTCTTTGCTCTGTCTTCTGTGCCATTCCAGGTTTCTACCCTCCTCCAGGCCCCCACCCACCCATGGGCTACTACCCGCCGGGGCCCTACCCACCAGGGCCCTACCCTGGCCCTGGGGGCCACACAGCCACGGTCCTGGTCCCTTCAGGGGCTGCCACCACAGTGACAGTGCTGCAGGGAGAGATCTTTGAGGGTGCGCCGGTGCAGACAGTGTGTCCTCACTGCCAGCAGGCCATCACCACCAAGATCTCCTATGAGATCGGCCTGATGAACTTCGTGCTGGGCTTCTTCTGCTGCTTCATGGGGTAGGTGGTACAGGCGGTTGTGGGAAGGGGGCCATGGCTGCCCACCACCACCCTGGAGTTGCCCCGGGCCCTTGGCGCCTTCTCTTCAGGCCTGCCCATTTCTCCCCATCTCTGATTCAGGTGTGATCTGGGCTGCTGCTTGATCCCCTGCCTCATCAACGACTTCAAGGATGTGACGCACACATGCCCCAGCTGCAAAGCCTACATCTACACGTACAAGCGCCTGTGCTAACGGAGCTGGGACTGGACTCCCTGCTGTCAGTCTGGCCCCCGTGCTTTGCTCCCTGCGCTCAGTGGCTCGCTTCCCCACTCCCACTTGGAGGTGGAAGCTGTTCCATCAGTCCGTCCCCTGGAATTCTTGTCCTCTTCACCTTGCCCCTCCCTGAGCATCTGACTCTTGCGGCAAAAATTCTGTTGGATTTAAAGCCAAGGGTCAGTGAGTGGCAGGGGGATGGCACTGAGCTTGTGTGTTGGTTTGCTTGGTGTAAAGATAAGCAGGGAAAGGGTCTCCTTGCACAGTCTTCCTGCTGGGGTCTCTTCCTCCATTTCTGCACCATGTACGGGTTCGGTCCCGAGTCTCCCTGGGACCAAAAGCAGCCAGAGCAGTGGCTGGTTCCCCAGACCTGGGGCCTAGGCTGTAGCCATAGTCGTTTCTGATCTGCTGGGCTGAGTGGGGGATGGATCCAAGCAGGACAGGGTCATAAGGCCTGGGTTTGTTTCTGGGGTGCTAGAGGCAGGTATGATGGTCGGAAGGAATGACCCTGGCCCTCAGAACTCTCGGGAACTCTTAATAGTGCCCAGGAGCCACCTGGGTTAAGGTAGGGAAGTCTGCACACCTACAGGCCATGGGGTAAGGGATTGGGCCCTGGCTTTCCAGGAAGGGACTCACCTCTGGCCCCTATCCAGCTCCCTTTCCAGCCACGTGTCCGTGAACCCCATGCTTTCCTGGGACCAGAAGGAATATCCAGGAGCCTAGCCCATCTGTCTGTATATACCATGCCCTTGGTGTGTGTGGGCACAACCGCTGCCTAGGAGCTGCTGTGTCCCAGCTGTGACCAGAGATGGCAGAGAGGAGGGGCCGCCTCGTGGGCACACTCAATTTGCAGTACACTCTCCAGATCCTCTTCCCAGTAAGCACTGGGCCCTTCGCCTTGGCCGGCTGGCTGTCACTGTGCCTACTCCAGGGGCAGGAGCAGCTGCGGCACTGGACTGGGGACGAGGAAGGAGCAGCCACAAGTGGCGGAAGTGCCCTGCTGGACACCAGCCCTGCCCTGGGCCTGAGCCCACAGTCTTTATTTCCTGAATGGTTTGTCTGTGAACTTGCTCACGTGGACCGCTGTATCCTGCTGCCACCCCTCCCTCTCCTGGTCTCACACTGCCACTGCATGGCCTCCTGTTACTGTGAATCGTGGCCAGTCTCAGTTTGTAGTTTCTCATTAAATTGGCCCTTTCACTCCCCAGCCCTGGGCCTCTGCTCTCTTGCCTGGCTTCCTTCTTTTGCGAGGGAAAGAGGGTGGGGCTGCAGGTAGTCAAACTGCAGGGGGTTGAGTCCTCAGGTTCTTATTGCTTATGCCACATCAACTACCCAGGGACAACACTGACCTTTCAGTCCCTAACTAAACCACACCAGAGTCCAGTGTGGATGAGCCCGGAGATTCCAGCTGTGAGAAGTTGGCTTCACTGTGCTATCAGATCACCTACTATATTGATACCGTGTCACCCATCTCCACACCATGCATCCACCCATGGGGTCTGCAAGCTGGAGACCCCTCCAGCTAGAGCTCAGGGCCACCCCACCGTGCACTCCCTTAAGCAAGACAGAGCCATTGGGACTGAGGCTTCTGGTCTGAAGGCTACCGGGCACGGTCAGGCAGCCTAGGTCCCCAGGTTCTGGCTGGCTCAGCCTCTGCCCCTCATCTGACTTGTGAAGGCAGGTGGGCTCAGTCAGTTGTTGAAAAGTGTCCCCACCATTTAACCTTGTTTTTGAGTAAAACTTCCACAGATCCTCAATATGTAATACAGGTAATAAATTCCTATTAAAATAAATATTTAAATCCACATTTCTATTTTAGACAATGAATTGTTATATAATACAAGCATATGCTTTTTTATCCTTATTTGTGGGGAAAAAATTTCAAAATGGGAAAACTCCAAAGCACTCCAAGAATTAGAGAACCACAGGACCAGCTGGACTTCAAGGGTCTTCGTGAGATGGCCACGATGACTGCCCCAGACAGGAGGGCTGCTGAGTGACCAGTAGTACTGGGGACACATGTAGGGCTGCCTGGGGGGCCAGCAAGGATGACAGGAGGACGTCGCACCAGAAGGAGGCGGCGGCTGTCAGAGTCCACTTTATTGAGAAGGTAGCATTTACACAGGTCATGGCCAAAGACCCTACTCAGGTTTTCTGCTTGAGAAGCATTGAGGACTGGCTGCCCAGGACGGAGTTCCCAGGACCTCTGAGGCAGGGTGTGAGTCTGGCTTCTGCCCCTTCTCGCCCCTGGCCCTCTGCCCCCAGGAGAGGTCCTGCAGAGGAGCAACAGCATCTGAGGCGGCCCCCCTCCCTCCCACAGGGCTAGGGGAGCCTGGACTTGCTGGCTGCTCTGCTCCCAGCAGGGAAAAGTTCCCACCTAAATGCCGACACAACAAGGAAGAACAGAGGGAATGAGCCCTGGGGTCAGACGTATGGGGGCCCCGGCAGCCAAGCTGGTTCCAGAGGCCCAGGCCAGCCCGCTGAGCTGCGCAGGCTGCCCCGCTGCCCGCCGTGGCCTGGGGACTGCAGCAGGGGTGGGCCTGCATCCAGCTCAGCATCTGGCCTACATACAGGATGCTGACAGGCAAAGGCTTTAGCATCTGGCTTTTATTGGTGGTTTTCTCAAAGCCACCATTTAAAAAAAAAAAAAAGGTCACCTGAGGTGGTAGTTTGGTCATGGGTGGAGGTGGGGGCGGGCCAGGTGTCAGGAGGAGGGCGCCAGCGTAGTGTGGTGGGTCCTTCACATGTAGTACCAGGCCAAGAGGCCGGCAGCCAGGGCCACACTGGTGGCCAGAATGAACTGGAGGCTGGGCTTGCTCAGCACAGCCAGGGCTGTTCGGAAGGGGCAGCTGCTGCCCTCCAGGATACCTGCATGGCAGCACCAACAGAGGACATGGCATCAGTGGGGGACGCAGGAACACGGACATGCCTGCCCTAGCAGGGGAGCTCAGACACAAGACCTACCTTTGTCTTGTTTAGCAGCGTAGTAAGGGCATTTCCGCACATCTCCCTTCCCATCGTGCATGGGAAACCCATCCTCCAGGGTGTCTTTGGCCAGCAAGGAGCCAGCCTGGTCCAGTTCATTGAATATCTGCAGGTGCAGAGGATCAACAGCCATCACTGTACTGTGTACACTCTGCTTTCAGAGAAGACTGTCTCCCCCACACACAGGGAGCTGGAGCAGGTGAGGCTTGCTCAGGAGCACACAGCAGCAGCCCCAGTCAGCAGCCGGGCGGCCACGCTGACCTGGCAGCCCTCCTGAGCATGAGCACTGCGAGGTGTGGCCGCACCTGTGCTACCCCGACTAACACACAGCCCACAGCTGAAACTACCAGGGGACAGACAGGAGGAGAAAGCAAAAGCGCTGCCCATGTAAGCACCAGTACTTCCCTATTTCTAATGGGTGTTTTTAGCAAGAACTGATAGAAAAAGAGGAACATGGGAGAATGAGGCCCTGGCAGGGCTGACTCATCCTGAGTGGCCCTCAGAGGCCTACAGACATCAGGCTAGGGGGCTGCCAAGCCTATGGTCAGGTTGGCGCTTCACTGCCTCCTGTGGCCACGCTCCTGGTGCTGAGGGCTGGGCCTGGGCTCTCTCCCCAGGCTTGGGCCCATCTAACGGCCTCTAGTAAACTGAGTCATTCTTCTCACTCTCCCTGAACTGTTCAAGTAGGACTCTTCATAGCAACCCTTGCTAAAAAGGGGGAAATCCATTCCTCAAGACCAGAATCCTGTGGTGAGAGAGAGCTCCATTCTCCCCAGCCCCTCTGTGCGGGGCCGCGCCTTCTGAAAACATACACACAGGCTCTATCAAACAAGGCGGCGCCATCGCTGGGTTCATGCCCTCTGGCCTATGTGGTCCCTCACCCTTCTCTCGGGCAGGCTGCAGTTCACCTGTCCTAGTGCACTGATGCCCCTTCAGACAGCTCAGGGGGCCCCGCAGTCAGAGGCCCCTTCCCACCCAGCCCCTGGTAGTACCTGCATGTTGTACTCGAAGGCCCTGTTGGCCTCCTCCACGATTCTCTCTTTGGTCCTCATGTCCAGGTCCAGGGCGTTCATCCTGGCCCGGTACAACTGCTTGAACTGCTGCGCATTGTCCACGTTCTCAAACAGGTAGAACTGGGTCCCCTCCCCTGTGTTGGGGAGCTTCAGGGCCCGCTGGGCCACCTTCTTCAGCACCTGGCCCCCCGACAGGTCCCCCATGTAGCGGGTGTAGGCGTGGGCCACCAGCAGCTCTGGCTCATTCTGCCCCACGTAGTGGATCCGCTCCACATACCTTCGGGTGGCCTCAGAGCACTGCACTTGCTCCTCCCAGTCCCCACCGTAGAAATACTCCATGTCCTTGGTCAGTGCCGCCTTCCGGTGCAGCTCCATGGGGAAGTACAAGGGGGCGAAGGCTGGGTGGTCCTTGTTGCGGTCCATTTCCTCCTCGAGTGCCGAGTACGTGAAGTACAGCGCAGTAGTGGCCAGCTGCCGAGGGCGATGGGGACACCATGGGCAAGGGCAGGGCCTGGGCCTCAGCCAGCAACTCCTGAGCCCACCACCCACACATCTGAACAGCTGCAGACAAAGGCTTGTGTAGCACCCCCCTCTGTTCCCCTAAGGCCCACTTTTAGGAAGTGAATCACTTCACACGTGCAGGAAGCTTTTGTTTCTTAAAGGAATGGCATGGTGAATTCTTCGGAATGTGGCTCACTTCCTTTACATCACTTAAGACATGAAACCACAGCCTGACGTTGAGAAAGCATGGAGCGTAGAGAAAGGCCCAGCTTTTCCCTCAGAGCAGCTCCAGGGGGGCCTTCCTCATGGCACTAACACCCCCAGCCCAACCCAGTCCAGGACCGAGGGCACAAACCTTAAACAGCTCTTTCCTGATGTTTCCTTTCAAGAAGTCCTTGACAAACTGGGTGTTTTCTGCCCGGTCATGTGCTTCCTTGGTCCCTTCCTTCAGGAGCTCAGAGAGGTCCGCCATCCTAGGGAAAGAGTGTGTGTGTGTGAATTAGCCTTCCCCAGCTCCAGGGGGACCACTTGCTGAGCTAGAGGCAAAGGCTGCTCAGAAACATGACTCCAGCCTCTTAATCAAGGAGCACAGGGCAGGCAGACAGGAGTCTGCTCTAAGGACTTGCGTGACACCCTGGATGACTGTGACCTACTCCTCAAGAATGTCCATGTCTCTCTGAACCACTCAAATGAGTCATGTTTTGCTTCTGTGGCCACTAGTGCCCAAAGAAACACACACCTCTAATCCTACCATAATTTGCTGGCTTCAGGCAACAGCCAGCCTTCGGGAGCTTGTCTCCCGGAACCCACGCCATGGAGGAGGACCGACTGTATACCTCCTGGGGCGGCCCTGCTGCCATTCTCCTACCCTGAACCCACAACCTCTTCAGGATTATGTGTGGCTGGGCCCAGGTGTAGGAGGGTAAGAATGAGATCAAGGCTGGGGATGGTGGAGCCAGGACCTAGCTCTGTGCTGCTTAACAAAGTGACGCAGGATGGAGTGGTGCTGACATACTCCAATACCAGACAAGGCAGAGAACACACTGTGCAGGGGCGCCTGTGTGTCCACACCATCATCCACTTGAGCAAGAAAAACTTGGCTTCTCAAGGCCCAGCCTGGAGACTGGCTCATATCACCCAGTGCTGAGAATAGTTTATTATTAGCAATTATTTCAAGATACAAAAACAGAGCTTTGCCAATGACAGGGCTTTAAGGAGAGGATAAGAATGATGAAGAACACGCCCGGGTAACATGAGGCTTCAAGTGAACTGTCCCTCTCCAGTAAAAAAAACCCTGAAGTTAGAGTTGCTCTCACATTTGAAAGGGTAGAAGACACTGGGAAAGGTGCCAGCTTTGCCTCTGATGACCCTTTTTCACCCAATGACAAAATGCTTAGGGTTTTAAGAAGAAAGAAGGACCAGAAATACCATCAGATGCTACCTTCAGCACTCCCAGCAGTATCTGTCCTGCCTCCTCGCATGAGATGATGGTGAGAAGGAATGGGGAAGAGTGTAGAGCGGCCCAGGCCGCCGTCCACTGTCTCTGCAGCCTCTGCGGTTCCAGCCTGGCACCCCAGCGGCCACAGCAGCACAAACTCTGACCACACCTGGTACCCCCAGCATATGAAGCCAAGTGTGCTGGGCGTGGCAGGCCCTGGGCCCACCTGACTCAACACGGCCAGCCCCCATGGCTCACCTGGTGTGGTTTTCTTTTTCTGAGGCCCTGGAGCTCTTTTTCTCCGATTCATCCAGCCCCTCTGAGGTCTCCAGTTCTGCTGACATCGTTGCCAAGTGTGGTTCTTGCTGCTCTCACTCCTCCGGTCCTGTAGAGACACGAGGAGCTGGTGATGCAGTACCCACGACTGTCACTTCCCCCAAACACCTGCTGGATCTGCTCTCCTCCAAGCCGGTGTGACTGAGGAGTCACCCACACGCCTCAGGAGTGTTTTCCTTAAAAATGAAGGTCTGCCATTACTGGTACCATAGCTGCATATGGAAAAAATTTGAATATAGACAGTGGATTAGGTAATACTGTACTGACGCTGAACTTGCTGTTTTTTATAACTGCATTGGGATTATTTAAGAGAATGTCCTTGTTTTAGGAAATACGTACTGAGGTATTCAAAAGTAAAGGGACATACTACCTGCAACTTATTGTCACATGGTGCAGAAAGAGTCTGTGTACATGCACATATGTGGGGCGGGCGGGGGTGGCGAGAGGACATGAAAGCAAAGCAAATGAGACAAAATGCTGAAGGTGAAATATGCGTTTTAAAAGGTACACGAGTTCAACGTACTATTCTTACAATTTTACTGTATGCTTGAAATTATATCAAAATAAAAAGTTACCTAAAACATAAGAAACAAAGACAAAGAATCATTAAAAAAAAAAAAAGCAGTAGTGCAGGGGCTCTCAGTTCAGCAGCAAGCGCCCCTGAGGCCAGACCATCCTACCTGTCAAAGACAGATGGCCTTGCGCAGAGGGCAGCAGAGCTGGGCATGAATTGGGGGGTTAAGCCAGGCCATTCAGAGCAGCCCTGCTTTAAAGCAGAGCAGTTCGAAAGGCACCTGACAACCTGCATCAGCTACACTGAGTCACCAAGCCAGCAGACTGTCCTCACCCCACTCCAGACTCTGCTAGGCCGAAGGGAATAACACAAGTTAGCCAATCAGTGCCCGCTGCCGGCTGCCAGGGCTGAGCCTTCGTCAGCCAGGGAGATGTGGTCCCTGAACACGACAAGCTCACCCTCCACCCTGACAGTGCAAAGGGGCAGCCCATCTGGGGAACTTCTCAGGTGAACAGCAGCACAGCTGCACCAACAACTAACAAAGTAACACAAAGCCAGAGCTACCAAGACGGGGGCCAAATCAGCCCAAAGAAAGAGACTAACTTTCTACCTCAACCAGCATCTATCTACTGGGCATTAGTGAGCTCCACCTGGAAACAGGTGTCAACAGGGACAAAGAAGTATAAGAAATGGTCCTTGAAAGGTACAAGAAGACAATAAAAAAACAATCTCTATCTCACCCCACAGATATAACCACTGTTAATCTGTTGCTATACATCCCTTCTGAGTCTTCTCTAGGCATGTAGTTACATCTTTGTTATCTTTTGGAATGATGTAAGGCATGGTTTGCTCAGCAGGATCTTTCTGAACCTTTTCTCACCTTTAGATTTAGCATTTATACAATGGGATTAATGATAGGAAGGATTAAGTGAGAACACAGAAGGCTTTTAGCACACTGCCTGCCATGAGGTAAGCACTTAGTAAATATTAGATATGATGGCTTGTACTTGCATTTTGATTGAGGCTTACTGAGGTTGTCCAAGAACGCTTAGAAAACAGCAGAAAGGGAAATAAGTCAGACAAAGCATAGTATCACTTATATGTGGAATCTTAAAACACAAAAACAAAACAAGTTCAACTCACAGAAACAAGAGAGTAGGATGGGGGCTGCCAGGGACTGGCAGTTGGGGGCAAAGGGAGAACGGCCGGTAAAAGGGTTCAAATTTTCAGTTATAATATGAAAAAGGTCTGAGAATCTAATGAACAGTATGGTGACATACAGGTGATAATACTGTACTGCATAACTGAAGTTTACTAATAGATCCTAAGGGTTCTCAGTAAGAAAAGGGTAAATATACGAGGTGATAGGTGTGTTAACTTGACCACGGAAATCCTTTCACAATATATGCATGTATCAAATCACTTTAAATATATTACAATTTTATTTGTCAATTATACCTCAATAAAGCTGGGGGAAAAAAAGAGAAAGAAAAGAAATAGCATAACATGGAAATGGGAACTTCTCTCGACTCCAGATCAGATATATTCTCCTCTATAATAATGCTGGTGAACGGTATGGTGCAGACCCTCAACAACAGACAAGAATTGGGGTAAGGGAGAGGAAGTGCCTCCAGATCAAGGAACAATATGAAAAAAGCTAGAAATGGGACAGTCCACAGAGATGGCAAAAGGCTACCTAGCTATGCGTCCTCTTTCTGAGGGGTCAAGGTAGACATTTTACCAGCTCAGAATAAGCCCCACATTGGCCTTCCATCAGCTTGTCCATACTGATCTGATTTTACAGGCTTTTAAGAAATAACATCTGAGCCCCACACCCTTAGGGACCCTGAGAGCCACGATTTGTCCCCAGCCACTCAGCACTCAGCCTGCAGAGAGGAAACGGTGCTGGGATGGGAGTTCTGGGCTTCCCACAGGAGGGAAGCCTGCAGTAAAAGGCCTCAGAGCCTCTAGAAAGGTATATGACTATGCTGAGGGACATGTCCCAGGCACCGGAGGGCTGCAGCCCCCATGCTGCTTCAGACAAAACTAAAAGTACATAAAGACAAGAACAGATATCATTCAGTTGCCTAGGTTACCAATAGCAATAATAGGTAAACTCCATGCAGCATAATGATCACACAGTGATTGTGTGCATGACTAAATGTGATCATTAACTGTTTCACTTGACGATCACTGCACGCTCTGGGAGAATGTAGTCATTTAAGCAACAAGGCTTCTGATTCTCTTAAAAATACAGACAAGGGAAGAGAAAGCCAGCTTCCACAGGTGTCTACCTTGGTATCTTTTTCTCAGCAATATTTAATTTGTATCAGGCTCCCTTTGGGTACACTCCCCCCTCCACCCTCTTCAAATGGGTTCTGCCTGATGGCCCCCAATTCCCTCCTCCTAGGCCTGACTCTGGCCCCAGGGGCAGGGCCACAGCTATATGCTTCACTCCAGGGCCCAGAAAATAATAGGCTCTCGATAAACACTTATTGAACAACAAATCCAGAGGAAAGAAGGTGGGTTGGCAATGGTGTAATGCATTCTGCCAACAGTATCCACCTGTGGACAGCAAAGAGCAATCTGCTGTCCACTACTTCAACAGGTTCTAAACTCAAAACATGGTTAAGGATTTTGCTTTGAAGGAAAAACTGATACCAGCTTATCCCACCCCAGCAGTAAGAATACTGAGTGCTTAACACGTGCTAAAAGCTCCATCTGCCAGGAAAGGAGAACACTCTAGGGAAGGCTCCGTTAGTACATTCAACCCACACAGGATGGGTATGAGGAAGAGGGGCCCATATCCATCCCTAAAGCCTGATCACTGTTCCTCAAGGGAGTGGCTGTACAGTGTGGCATTCAGGAGCCACCTTGCACATCAGAAATAGAATTCATTTCAGTCTCTGAAAAGCTACATGGCCAAACAAGGTCCGGGTGACCTCTACACCCAAATCCTTTTTTCTTTGCAAGAACCATTGGAATCCCTATAAAATCAGAAGCCAAATAATAAATGTAAAACCTTTTTAGACTTCAACCTCTTGTTATCAACAAGAAGCTGCCCCATCCCCCCAACAAAAACAAAAACAAAAACAAAAAGATCCCAAAATATTCCACTCTGGGAATATCCCACACTTGAATAAGTATTAAAAGTAATCTGTACAAAATGAGAAGTAGCCGTACTGTGACATCTGAAACAAGGCACACAGCCTAACAGTATGGGGCAGGGCTGCTCAAACAACAGGAAACAATGGAATCCTGGCATCACTGCGACAAGTTGATAGGCTGCACCCACACATGGAAAAGTCTAAACTTATTTGTTCAAAAAAGGACCCTAAACACTAACTCCGACTGTGCATAACTGAGCATACTGATGATGACAGGAAGGGAATCTGGAAAGCTCTAAACACTTATTTGTTGGACTTTTTAGGCAATTGGCTCCTTCTTGAAAGGGGGGGAGGGAAAGGCTGGGGAGAGGGGAGAGAGGAACAGAAGGAGAGGAACTGGACCAAGCAAACCAGCTAAGACCCTCTGCTCTACCATCTAAACAACAGGAAGTTCCCTGGGTCCTTTGCTGTTACTAATCCCAGAAAGATCAATCTGCCCTCTCTCTCTTCTACTTCCAGAAACTGTGACCTTCAGTTTATAAAATGTACTTCCACAACTTGATAATTCTACACTCTGAGCTGTTCACCTGATCACTACCGGTTTTCACTCCCACACCTGATCTGAGAGAAGTAGCAACAACTCTGTCACCAATATTCCCTCCTGCGGACCTCCCCAGCAGACCCAGAATACTTATTTCAAAGTCTCCGCCCTGGTAAATGACAGATTCAAGGAACTAAGGCTTTTGAAAGAACAGACATGTTCAAAGGTGTTAAGTCTTCCTCCTCAGAGACCCATGTCAGCAAATCTCAGGTCAGTTAGCCTCGTGCACTGCTGTAGGACGAAATATAATCTAAGGCTGTATCATCACTCATTCCCCACCTGGCGATCCCAAAAGGCACAATGGAGACTTCATCTATAACAACTCTTTTTTTTCATTCTCCTTCTTTTTCTTTGCCCTGGAAAACCACAAACTGAGGGAAGGGGTGGCGGGGGGTGGGGCTGGGGTGGGGGGTTGCTGAGCTTGGTCAGCACTAGAAGGGAAGGAAAGACATAACGACCAGCTCCCTGAAGTGAGAACAATTCTCCCACCTGACTGGAATTGACAGTGGCCAGCAGCCAGCTACCGCAGCTCAAGGGATGCCCACCTGGAGCTAGTGCTACCACCCACATACAGAGAGGAAACAGCCAGAGGGAAGGTAACTGGCAGCTCAGACTCCTGCTCAGGATCCACTGCTGCTCCCTCCCTGCTGGGCATCAGGAGTCCCTGCCTGCTTCCTAAAAGGCTGTTAGAGGCTCAGAGTTGACTCCTGTCTGGAACTGGCGTCACATTAATAAGAGGTGACTATTCTTCATCTTCCCCCAACTGCCACCGTCCCGTTTCCCCCGTTAAACCAGAAGCATCCCACAAGACAGATCAAGACTCCCTC